TGGTGGTTCTTAATTTCTTTAAAAATCACTTAGTTGGCTGGTCTTTATTAGTGGATGTTTTAGTCAAGAAATCTTCATTGAGTCCTTTACTTTTTTTTTTTTTTCACATATGAGGTGTCTGCCTTTTTCCTAGTTTTCTGAATGGCAATTTGGCTAGGTTAAATATTCCAGGGTTGACATTTGTTCCTGTATAACTTTGTAGACATTGCTTCATTATCTTCTGGAATTTTTTCCCTTCCTTTGGTGACTCACTTTTTCTGCCTGAATATCTAAAGCAAGTCCTTAGAAATAATTTTTTTAATTCAGTAACTTAACCAGGATTCTAGGCAGCACTGATTTTATATCATTATTTCTCATGTGTATAAAGTGCCATCTCAAGCTTTTTGTTACTGTAGTGGAGGTCTTTACTTCAGGGATGCCAACTGCCTTCAATGCTAGATTACATTTGTCGTTCACAACTATCAGTTCCCTCTAATTGCTCAAATCTCTTGTCTGCGATTATTTCAATGTCTCCCCCATGCCATTAATGCAGTGTCTTGCCATGCCTATTCCTTTCCTTGGTCTTTCTGATTTATTTATGAATTCTGCCATGCTGTTATTTTAGCTTACAACCCGTTTCTTAATTTCTACCACTTCCCCCTCCACCTCCTTCTTTTCCTCATCCCATCTTTGGACTCATATTTTTACTAAGTTGTTTTCCATAATGAAGCACTATGCGGCATTATACCAGGTTAAGATGAGAGAGAGAAACAGGGGTGCAAGTTCCCTCCATGACACCAAAAACTGAATCAAAAGTCATTTTTAAAAAGTGAAAACTCTGCATAAAACATATATTGTGCATGTGAGATGGTTTACCTGTGGTCCTAGAGGTGAAGAGGAAAGACTTAAAATTGTTTAATGTCCATTCCAAGCAGAAGTACTTAAAAATAAATTTAGACAAAGTATTGTATCATCTGAATTTTATAGTTGCATGTATGTGTCTATATGTCAAATTATGTGTTTCTAAAGGGGAATTGTGCAATCCAGTATAATTTCTTTTAACCCAGTTCAATTAGTTTATATAGATTTAATTCAGGTAAGATCAGCTCATTTCCATTTAACTGAATACTACCCCTTGCTCTAATCTTGGTCCACTTTCATATTAGTATGAGAAAGTAAAAACCCAGCCCCAGATTACAGCTCTGTTGCCAGTGTTGGCTGCAAGCACCCCCTCTCTCCCCCACTTCCCCACTTACTCACTTGACCAGCTTTGTTCAGCCCTCATCTCCTCAACCTTTGATCTTTTGGCTTTGTGGCCCAGCTCCTATCACCTCCCGTAGATACCTTTTTGTTTTGACAACTTATTTGGACCAATTTCTGTGTCCTACCAATTTCAGTCTTTTTCACTAATCTGTTGACTTCTTATAATCCATTCGATTTTGATGACTATAACTCAAAATGAAAGTCACTTTCACTAAAGACTAGTTCTAAAAAATTCACCAACCTAGAAGACTATACCTCAACCTCCCTACCAGTGCATATATGCACTATGTTGCAGTGAGACATAAAATAGCAGAGAAAGACTGTGTATACTGTCAACTAAAAATGCAATGAGGCCTCAACTTGTTCACCACCATGCCTCTCTGTCCTTGATTGTTTACACCCTAATTGTATAAAGCCAGAAAGCCTAGCCCAACCTAGAACTCCTTTTATGTGTACTAATGCAATTCCTACAGACTGCATTGGGAGAGGCAAGCACATAACTGAGCGCCAGCATCAGTCCAAACTTCTCAGAATAAATTACTTTCCAAATAGTTCAGAGAGATATAAGAAAAAAAAAAAGGCAGACAGACTCTGTATGGCTGGCAAAAGTTGGCATCAAAGGCAGATGATGGATCTGAATGGCAGTTTGCTGTATTTTTATGCTTTGAGTGACAGCCTAAGTGTATTCCTTTTATTCTTGGCAAGGCAAAAAACTCAAATTTTGCCTTTGGTTATTTGTTTTCTTTGTTATTTTTTTAAACTGTAGTAATACAGTATTTTCCAAAACTGAGAAAAAGCATTAAGTTGCCTTCTCTATTGCTCTGGCCTAAGTAGTATTCCCTATGATGTGTATTCTAGGACTTCTATGAATGAAGTTAACTTTAAATTACAGTAATGCTCTCACTGCTCTCTCTGGGACACATCTCCTAAATCTAATCATTCTTATTATTATATATTTTCTTCTGATTCTGATTTTCCTTTCTGAGTTTCCAAATTTCTACCCATATTTCTCTGAACTGCATCTGTCTATATCATGCTATAATCCTAACGTGGGGTTATGACCTTCATATTAAGAAAGGCATTTAAGCATTTCCCTTGGTTAATGTACTGGGAGTGGGGATAAGTATGTATAAGGGTGTGGGATGTTATAGTCTGAGCAAGGACTTCCTAACCTCCAAAATGTAACATCTGTTTAAAGTAACATTAGATGGAAGGAAAGTAAACCATCACGGTGGACAAGTATATGAGGACAATTCTAACTCTTCATTGTGGTGGAGAGAGCAGGTCACCAACTAATTAGCTTAGCATTTATCAAGTCTTTATTTGATTCTAGGGCTGTTCTAGAAGGTCTTCCCATGCTTTCTGTCAACCCTTACATGTTTTCTGACCCGTGTGAGCTCTGGGAGTGGTTTAGCTCACAGCTTCTCAGTGGTGGTTCTTCCTCCAGTAGTTGTCCTGTGCCCAACCTTGTAAAATCTTGCCCTGAGTGTGTGCAGCTTACGATTTGGCCAAAATTTCTTTTCTTTTTTTAAAATAGGAAGATGAGGCATCACTACCCTCATTCCCCATACAGAATCCTGTCCTGGGTACCTGAGAGAGGAAAGAGCCCCTCCTGCCAAGAGTTTTCCTTTTTAAAAGAAAAAATATATATTCTTTATTGATTTCAGAGAGAGGAAGGGAGAGAGATAGAAACATCAATGATGAGAGAGTCAATGATCGGCTGCCTCCTGCACACCCCCGACTGGGGATCGAGCCCGCAACCCAGGCATGTGTCCTAACCAGGAATCAAACTGTGATCTCCTAGATCATAAGTTGATGCTCAACTACTGAGCCATGCCGGCCGGGCTAGCCAAAATTTCAATATAGATTTCTGGAGCTGATAAAGAAAGATACCACTTTACCACTCCTATTCAACATTTTACTGGAGAAAGGAATCAGTGCAGTGGGGCTGAGGAGGTCTAGAGCAGACCATCAGTCCCTGGTTAACAGGAAAGTGAATCATTCCCCACCACTAGTCTCTTTGTTTTGCAGAGTCAAAGTTCCAAAGGATTTTGTAACTCAAAACTTAGGCAGTAGTACCTATAATCTTTCAGGTCTCTGCTTTCCCTCCTTATTTGAAACTTCTTGGCTAATGAGACCCCTCTGAATGGTCACTCCAAGAACTCAATAATGACATTGGTATGGGGTCTGTTTGGAGGCATCTGAAAATATCATTTATTTGCCTTAAAATAAAGAAAACACTTCTGTCACTTGAGAGTGTCCTAACTGTTCATGGAGAGCATCCAAAGTAAGCACTTTCTTTCCCAAAAACAGTTTTCAAGAAGGGTGTATGTTACTCGCACTGCCAAAAACAAAGTTTTAATCTGCGACGTACTTGGGAGCTACAGTGAATTTCAAATACATATTCAATCTACCTCTTAATAGGTCAGTTATTCTTGGGAAATTTCAGTGGCCAAATTGAAGAAATGTTCACAAGGAAATTAAGAATTGAAGTCATTATTCAAAATATTGTCTTTAAAATGTACTGTTAATCAAAATGAGCCTTTACAAAAGTCAATCAATCCTTTTTTATATCGCCTGACCATGTAAATTGTTGCTGGGAAAGAAAACTGTGAAGCTCAGCAATAATTTCAGCAAAGTAGTTTAGTGTCTTAAAAACATTTCTCAATAGCAAATATGCTTGCAAAAGAATCACTGTTCTAGTAATTATTGAACTACTTGTAATCCCCTTGACATCATGTCTTTCCATGTGCCTTTTCACATATCTGTGGCTATTTGTTGCTACTATTCCAAAATTTGATAAGAGGTGATGTCTTAAAGGTTAGTTACACTGTGGAATCTGAAACCATAGCAACAAACTTGTCATAATCAATTACATTGGAATGCACTTGTCTATCTCACACTCTAAGCCTGACTTTGTAACATCACATTATCATAATTTGGAACATACTGGTTTACTGACTTATGCAGATCTTCCAAATGTTGACATAAAATCACATTTATTAATATCGCTGCCAATTTCAATGAAAAGTCTTTAAGTATTAGGAAGCTGTTAAACTCATAGTGGCAGATAAAATTTTCCAAGATTCTCATTTTCTCTTTAAAACTTTTATTTTATCATTGCAACAGATACTTGTTTTCCCTGAGGTGACAAACTTCATTTGTTTTCGAGGAAATATCTGACAAACACCTGAGTCTGAAAAAAACTAAAGCGTGTCATTCTTTCTTGCAAGTAAAAAATATCTATATTCCATAAATAAAGTAGAGACGACTAACAGAAATACACAAAGTAAATGAATGGATAGAAAAGATGTGGTTTATATATATAATATACATGCACAAAATGAAATATTATGCAGCAATAAAAAAGAATGAAATCTTGCCATTTGTGATGTGGATGGGCCTAGAGGGTATTATGCCAAGTGAGGTAAGTCAGACAGAGAAAGACAAATACCATATGTCACATCCTCTTTGTGTGTGTGGTATCTGGGGTAGGCAGGATTCGTAACTCTCCCAGTAAATGAAATCATGTTTTAAAGGCCCACTGGAAATAGTCCTTGAAAAACACTGTGATGAGTTAAGTGTAAATGAATCAGAAGAAGAAGTATTGGGTTTCCCTGGAAATACACATGGGCTGAGACATGCAGGGAGGGGGGAGTTTCCACCCAAGGTCCTTAAGAAAGAATTGGAGTGTGTTGCCAAGAAATGACAACCTGTTTTTCCAACACTCATTCGAATTCCCTGCCTTTCCTTTTCAGGCACCTGACGAAAAATATTTGATACTCAGAAGCTTTCCCCCAACCTGAAGTGTGACTTTATTTCAATGAACTAAGGTCCAGCTTTCTTCCCGTTACACACACTAACGAGGCAATGACAGTCCTGCACGAATAGCTCATGGAGCAGATGGAGGCAGGCAGCACTCATGAAGTACTGAAGCTCTAATGAGCCTTTGATCACCGGCGTCTCACAGGGCCAGTATAGGATTATGTTACCACTCCAAGTTAATAGGCAGAAGTTTCCAACATCGATAAAGTCTGCTTTTCTGCAGGTAAAGGTGTGAGTGATGGGGATGTGGTGTATAAGATGTATACTTTGCCTGCTGGTTCACTTGTACCATTCTTCTTTGAAAGTCAGATTCTTCCTTTCCAAAAATTATAATAATGGAGAGATGAACAATGGCTCCCTGGGTTTCAGTAACTGTGTCAATTAGCTTTTGTGATGTAACAAATCACAGCAAAATTAGAAGCTTAAAACAATGATTTATTTCTCAGTATCTTTGGGTTCCTTGGGTTTGGCCAGACTCAGCTGGGGCTTGATGGTCCAGAATGGAGATGTGGGGTTTTTTTATTGCTTTATCCTTCCATTTCTGTATGTTCCAAAGCATGTGATAAAAACTTAAGACAGTAGATTAGAAGTTTATTTATCTTTGTTTATTAATAAAGTCCAGAGGTAACTGCACAAGGTTGCCAGGTCAATTCCATAATCATAGTCACCCATTAAAGTTTTTTTGTATATGGCAAGCTATTTTTTGTCTCATATTTTTCTTTAATGTTTATGTAATTAGATTCACAACGTATGTAGTTTTGAATTCTGATTTTATTTAGTAAAAAGTACACTGTTAGAGTTTCTCCATTTAAAAAAATTCTCCCAAACATAATTTTAGTAGCTGCAGAATATTTTTTAATTTGGGGTAACCTGCATAACTGAGGTCATCGTTTTTCCTCTGTTGACACTTGCATTATTCCTGTGATTCACAGTACAAATAATATCATGATGGATGTCTTTGTAAACAAAATTCTGAATGAATCTCTATCTCTTTTAAATCTCTTAAAGTGTGATTGTTGTGTTGTAGGGTATGAACTCTTCCAAAGCTCTTGATGTTTCCGAATTATGGGGCAGGAAGGTCCAAACACGTGTTCCCAGCAGCAGTGAGTGAGTGCAGCCCTACACAACACCCTCCTGCTGTGCCCCGGGGAACTTGCATTTAGATAACAAAAGAAGAGAGAGGAGTGTTCTCAGCAAAGGAAGAAGCAGCAGCTCAGAAATGTAGGAGAAGAAATCAGCCCCAGGAAGAACAAGAAGGGGACAAGAGTGACCTCTTGTGGGCAGGACCTCCCTAACTTCACCTTTGTATGTCCCTCTTCCAGAACCTCATACAATGTCATATACATAAGGTGATAAAAAAAGTAGTTTGCATGAATAAAGACTATTTTTTTCCAATCTTGACTTTACCGATTAGCCACAGCTTTCCTAAAATTAAATCTCACTTAGCTCTGTGTTTCTAATCAGTTCTGATTTTATATGTGTGCATGTGATAAAAACTTAAGACAGTAGATTAGAAGTTTATTTATCTTTGTTTATTAATAAAGTCCAGAGGTAACTGGACAAGGTTGCCAGGTCAATTCCATAATCATCAGAGGACCTCAGCACAGGGCTTCCACCCCATTGTCCAGTCTGCAATGATCATGTCCCTGCTGCAGCTAATAGGGAGGAAGGAAGGGAAGACAAAGCAAGCCTCTCCATTCAAGGATGCTTCCAAGAACTTGCACATGGACCCTGGTGAGGAATCCTGGGAAATGTAGTCCTTTTCCAAGCTGCCATGTACTCAGCTAAAAATTGGGAATTCTATTATTATAGAAGGACAATGTGTCACAGTATTTAATAAATTGTTTAAAAGTATATGAAAGAAGAAATTAAGAGTACATTAAAGAAAATAAAAGCATATGAAAAACATGAGGAAGAATGGCCAGCCAGAAGAAAATGCTTAGCTTGCATCTTGGGATATGCCATCAATACTTCTAACAGGGACTTCTGAGTATGTCAGAGGCACTATTCAAAGAGAGAAACTACTGCCTTCCTCGTCTCTTTTTCTTTTCCACCCTCTCTAACCCCTGTTAGGGAGGTGGGGTGAAGAGGAGTAAGAAAATGGAAAGAAACATCCTTTACCTCCTTCTGGAAGCTGCCAGATCTCTGACAGCTCTGGCTTGGGGAAAAAGAAGCTGTGATTCGGAGTGAAATAAGTTGTGTTATTACATGAAATTGGGCCATTTTAATTACTAAATTGTGATAGTTCTGCTACTTAAAGAGATTACAGAACTTTTTAGGAGCAACAAGAGACCGGAAATGTCATAGGTGTGTCTGAGGGTTTTATTCAGGAGTAGGGAAGAGCTTTCGTACTGAGCAAAGTTTAAATGGATAATGAGAAATAAAAGTAAAGGTCACTTGTGATCCCATGAGTAGTGCTTCGGCACAAAGTGATGGGTACAATAACTACCTCACAGGGTTGGGGTTTTTGTTTGTTTGGTGAAGATTACATAAAAAATGGAATGTAAGAAAGCAATAGAGAACAAGGCATAAAGAGGCATTAAATTAAAGTTGGTTTCTTTCCCTTGATTCATACTACTTATTCAACATATGTATTGAATTCACACTATTTGCCAGTTATGGCTTTCAGAATAAAGACACAGAAGGGGAAAAAAATCATAGCAAACATAAGAGATGGCTTGTTTGTTTTTTAAATCTTATCTCAAGTTACCTTGTCTACAGAGAATTCAATTTATCTGACTTACTCCCACCTGGGGACATAATTTCCAGGAGAGCCTCCAGCACTTGAGGCTTGGGATCTCAACCGCATTTCATTAACATATATCTTGAGTTTTCTGAGCTCATTTACTTATTTTTCTGTTAAAAGCCAATGCCAACTCAATGGGTCCACACACAGGTAAGACAGACAGGGTCTGAAACCATCTCCTGGGGGTAATGGGTGGAAACTTCCGTTTTCTCCATTAACATGGAGAATTGCCCTTTTTGCTTTTCCTAGTTATACTCTCTAATGCCTACAAGTTTTATCTTTAGTGACACCTAGTGGCTCCATGTTGTAATGAGCATGCTGTTGGGCTTTGACGCTTTCTCTGGCTGAGTACTGGGCCAAAAGGGGATGGGTTTGTGTTAGCTTTTCATTTTTACCTTTGTCTGTCATGTGAGAAAAATGACTTTGTATCATGGCAATTCAGATTCTCCCACTCCTACATGTAAAAGAGAATTTTATATTTGTGCTCCCACATCACTGATGGGATGTCAAAAATCTCTGCAAGAGAGGTACTATGTGGTTATAATTGTAAAGCAGCTCCCTTTCCCTCCTTTGGAAGCTAGGGAAGTGTTACAAACCAACACTGTGGGGAAAATAAGGGAAACACTGTCAAAAGTTTCCTTTCTTTGGCTGGAGCAGAGTCATGCTACTGAGATTTTGAGAGAGGAAGAAGCCAATGATTCACATTTTTCTGCCTGGTTTAAACTTGTGATTATTTAAAAGCAAAATGAAAACCAGAATTTGACATTCCATATTTGAAAACTATTTCAAGATCATTTTAACCACTAATTGTGGTTCAGTACTTATTTATCTCACTCTGTCTTTTGTTTTCTTTCCACCCATAGATTATAAAAAATTGGATAGAGTCAGTAAATTCCCAGAGAATAGAATAATCCAATGTAATGACATTCTTCTTTCTTCCTGAGTTTTAAATAGAGAAAAACACAAAAATAATATTGCCAATATCCATGTGCCCATATTTTCTTTTTAAAATACTATAGAAAAAGTTGGGTTTTTTTCCCCCTCATTCCAACCCCATCCACCCATTGCTATCATGCATTTATCCTCTTAGCCCATGTTTTGTAAAAATAATTTGATCTCTATATATGCACTCATCAAAAATATTCTTTGTGTGTTTTGATTATATAAATATTATTGTACTCTGGGTATCAGTCATTAATTTGTTTTTATGGCTATTCATGTGTAGATACATAATCTTAGTCTATTATTTTAACTTCTGCATTCCATTGTATAAAGATATTACAATTTTTTGTCTATTCCCTTACTGTAAGAATTTTTTCCAATAATTTTTTTTTCCTATTAAAAACAATGCTGTGTAAGTACTTTTGTAATGGTGGAGAACTTTAAAAAATCTGTTCCTCCATAAAAGCAATGAGAACACTGGAAAATTTCTCAAAATCAACTTTATCAGAACTCAGGAAATTAAAGGCTTACAATCATCTAACAAACATTTATTGCTAAAAATTACTATAAACCAACAGTAGCTGTGAAAATCAGCAGCCTCGCTACTATTGGAGAGGGCAGACTAGATTTATAGCCCCCCCAAATCCACCACAGAACGATTACTATTTGACTTATTATCTCCCTGAAAGTGTACCAGTCACAGGACTTGTTTTTATTTCATCTGACTCAAAGTTCTTCCAGGGCAAACAGGCCTGTTCCCAGAACATTTGTCAAAACCAACCAGGGGCAATTGTTTAATACTGCAGCTGCCTGAGCTAGCAAGACCAGTTGAGGCAAATAAAAAGCTGACCAAAACACTTAAAAGGAAAAAATGAGGAATGAGATGCCCACAGCAGGCTTTGAAAACTCTAACATATTTCTGGAAATCTAAAAGTCATACACATGTGCAGGGCTCTGCACGTGGCAAGAAAAGACCTGAGAAGATTCTAATCTCTCAACTCTGGGCAACCTTGAGGTTCTTTGCAATAAAAAGCAAAGGCTAAGGCAGTGTTATAAATTGCTGGAAGTGTGGAAAGCATTCCATAACACACAGAGCCCCATGACAAAAGTTGGAAGGCGTATTGGTTCAAAGCCTTTAAGAAAATCTGCCATATTATAGTTGCTAACTGAACAGAGAATTCAGTGAAGACATGTGATAAAGGACATAAACTTTACAAAATAAGTCAGGCAAAATCACTACAATCACAAAATAAAACCAACAACAATGAGCATAACAATAAACTCTGAAGAGAGGGTAATATGATTTCCAAAGCTA